ATAGATATTGCTAAGTTCCATATGTCCCTTACAGAACTACATGATTCAATAAATTTTACAATAGATTTTGGCATCGAATTCGAAGCAAACGAAAAAGTATCCTTGAAAACAACAAATACATTAAAACGGATATTTTTTTAAAAAAGAAACAAACACTCATGACTATTTAAACTTTAACAGTCATCATCCGTATCACATAAAAAAGAACATATCTTATAACCTAGCTAAAAGAATAATCGTTTTTACGTCTGATTATGCTACAGAAAAAGTACGTCTAACGGAACTTAAAATATGGTTAAAAGAGTGTCATTACCCTGATAATGTAATAGAAAAAGCATTTCATAATGCAAAGTTACAAGGGCCAGCGCCAATGAAACAATCAAAAGAAGTCTTTCCTTTGGTGACTACCTTCTATAGTAATTTAAACTGTCAACCAATTTTAACTGAAGCTAACCTTTTACTTAGTTTATCTGATAATGACAGATTAAAAAAGGTTTTTTCAAATATTCAACCGGTAATAGCATACAAACAACCACCAAACTTACTTAGACAAATTACGCGCATAAATTTTAACTCTACGTCATCTGTCAAAAAAATGGGATTATTATATTTACAAGAAGTAGATAAATTTGAGACATTCAATGGCCCAATTTGAAACATTAAAAGTCACATTTCATGTAATAGTAAAAATGTCATTTATTATCTAAAATGCTTATCATGTAATGGACTATCTACATATACTGGAAAAACAAACAATTTAAGAAACCGCACAAATGGACATATTTCCAGTTGCAAAACTGGCAATTCAACAGATAGATTTGACAATCATGTATATGATTGCAAGAAAGTACACAAAACAACTACGGAGCCATTTTTTCAGCTTTATGTTTTTCTCGAATTAAAAAATGAAAATAATTTATTGACCTATGAAAATTATCTGCATAAACAAAAACATGACACCTTCAACTAATACTTCCTTTTATAATAACATAACAATGGTAACTCATAGTTACAAAAACTGCTATTAAATACTTCTATTATATAACTTTTTACATAAATCAAAATCATGATAATTACATTTTCAATAGTACTACTGATGATCAATACTGAAAGGCCTCTAGTATTATTTAATATTTTCTTAGTAGTATTTTAATATAAAAAATTGATTCATTTTTTGAATATTGTTGTTTTGCTTGGGTTCTTTTTCCTTCATATTGTTTTAAATAAATTGCTTGCTATATATATATATATATATATATATATATATATATATATATATATATATATATATATATATATATATATATATATATATATATATATATATATATATATATATATATATATATATATATATATATATATATATATATATATATATATATATATATATGTATATAAAATATAATATAATAAAGCGGAGGTGTCTGTCCGTCTGTCCTAAGACGCTTATGACAACAGGCGGCAAATTTAAAATGTAAACGCGTTAGAACATTCTAGAAGTTTTTGAAGTTTCTAAAACTTTTCCAAAATTTGTTTAAGCTTCATGAACTTTCTAGAACCTTTTTGAAGTTTCTAGAACTTCTTGAAGCTTCTAGAACTTTTCCAAAGTTTATAGAACTCGCGAAGTTTCTACAACTTTCCGAATTTTTGAGAACTTTTCGAATTTTTGGCCCTTAGAACTTTCTAGAAAAACCAAAAGGCCTTCAGATGTTATTTTTGCTAACCTGATACATAATGGCTATGAATTATATTTATTCGTCAACTTTGGAAAGCGAAGACGATTTGCCATTGAACACGATTGAAGACCTTGGAATGAAAACCTCAAATGTCCACATTTATGCAAATTGGATTTAAGTTATTTTTTGGTTGCTTATATATAAGTCCATGTAATGTTAAATGTTTCTTTAAAAATTATGTCCTTCAAATTGCCAGTCAAAGTACTTTTGAAAAACATCGTTAGTTTAAATGCTCTTCTGAAAAAAAAATCGTTTGTGACATTTGAGGTTTTCATTCCAAGGTCTTCGATTAAAAAAAGGATTCAACAAGAAAAAGAAACAACCGAACAGCGAGGGCAACGATTCGCTGACTAGACTGTGAACGACATCGACAACAATCAGTAACGCCTGAACAAGGCGAACAAACCCACGAGTATGATCGATAACGGCATTTGAAACAACCCCTAACAGAATCAGCGGAACAGCGGCAGAGGCGCTTTATAGCTCTTTTAAATATATTAATAGATTTTATAATGTCAGAATAGAAATCTTACACGCCAACTAGTCCTAACAGGGCTTGATGGTACGTTCAAATTAATATTACTAGAAGAACAATATTTTGAAAAAATGAACCATCAGAATATAGCGATAAGAAAAACAACAAAAAATGACTGCTACAACTTCGGTACCATTACTTTATCAATTCAAAATTATCCACTAGAATTTCAACAGCTACTGGATGGAAATACAGAAATAGCGCAAAACTTCAGATCAAATTTTTGACATTACAACAGCGCACTAGCTATGGTTTCGATGGGAGCAAAAATCGACACAATGCGAGTGATGAAAGATATAGCCGAAATAAGAAAATCAAGCGCATGAGGAGGAACGTGCAGTGCCGCAGGTTCAGTTTTGACGTCGTCAATCCAAGGTTCCGCCTTGGATTTACGACGATACAGCACGCCGATCACGGACGAAGTAGCAGCGATATTGGTAATGGAAAACGATGGATTACCATCTACCTGCAGCTTTGCAATTTCCTTCAGTGGTCAAAAATAATTTATTGACGACATTGATTCCCGTTGATCAATTCACCTATTCTCTTTCCAAAAAGTGAAAGTGGATGGCATCCAAATTTGACCAAAGCGCATCGCATAAAAAACGTGCTCGCATTACAAAAATGGAATACTACACAGTTATCGACTGGCGATTTGACCAAATGAGTGCAACCCACTTTTACACACTGGCAAACTCTTTCAGCAGTTGTGGACGCATACGTTAGATTAAAACAAAATTGCTTAAATTACGATCGACTACATCAAACAGAATTGCGAGCCAAACATTATCGCGTTCTAGCAGATCATTTAGCAACGGATGACGCTACCGATATTGAAGTTGAAAAGAGGATTATATTACCTTCAACGTTTCCAGGGTGTCCAAAAGCAATGATACAACCTTATCAAGACGTAATGGCTATCGTAGCAAAATATGGAATACCATATTCATTTATTACGATTACGTGCGATCCAAAATAGACAGAAATTACAGAAAATTTATTGCCACATCAAGCATTATCGGACAGACCAGATGTAGTGGCGAGAGTATTCCATATCAAATTAAAAACAATACTGGATGAAATTTTAAAAGGCAAAATTCTCGGCCGTGTCATCGCATACATGTGTGTTATTGATTTTCAAAAGCATGGCTTACCTCACTGTCATTTATTGTTCATTATGGATGCCAACGACAAAATAAGAACCCCCGAAGACGCTGATCGTATTATCAGTGCTGAAATCCCAGATCCAGAATCGGAAAACCGTCTGCACGAAATCGTAGTGACTATGATGATGCACGGAATCTGCGGTACAACAAATGCTAATGCACCATGTATGATTGATGGCGTATGCTCGAAACGATATTGACACAAAATATGGATGAGCAGATAATTGATGGGTAGTGTCATAAAACAAATATTAGCAAAGTACAAATATCACATCAATGTTGAAATTTGCGCTACCATCACATTGATTAAGTACCTATACCAGTATATCTACAAGGGATCTGACAAAGCAGTGATAAATATTCATTAAAAGCAACAGCGCCAGCGACAACCTGTATATGACAAAATTTTGTCCCATTTGGATGCACAATGTTAGTACCCCAGATGCTGCGTGGCGAATATTTGGCTTTGATATGGATATGTGATCACATACTATTTATCGGCTAGCCGTACATCTACCAGAATTTCAAACTGTTTACTTTCAACTAGATAACGAAGCCAACGCAATTGAAAGAGCTAACGCAAAAGACAACTTTAACGGCTTGATTCCAATTAAAAGAGCGCTTGAAAAACTGTTTTAAAGAAGGAGCAGCTCAACAAAGCTCCACCATCGATTAGCAACAGTTTTTGTACTGCAAAGGACCAGAGCATTTTGTTTTCAATAGAACATCGACGGAATGGAAACCACAAAAACAAGACAGAAAAGAAATTAGATGTATTTATACGATCAATTCAAGAGAAGAAGAGCGCTACTACCTACGGGTCATGGTACTATACACTCGCCGAGCTATATCATTCAAGGATTTAGGAACAGTCAGTGGAATAACCTATCCAACGTTTAAAAATGCAGCACGGGTATGCACCACAAAATGTAAGTAAAAGGCTGCCAAACTGTACTCGACTCTGAATAAAGAACAAAAGGCAGCTGCAGATGTTGTTCTTGCATGCATCAATGGTGACAAATAATGCTTCTTCATCGATGGGCCGGGCGGTTCGGGCAAGACATACCTATACACAACCATTACCCACATTTTCGCTGGACAAAGCAAAAAGATTCTAACCGTTTCGCCGTCAGGTATTGCAGCTACTTTGCTGCCACTTGACCAAACAATGTATTCTGCATTCAACTTGCCAGTGCCTCTAACAGCAGCTAATTGCACATCGCTGCTCAATAGCCAAAGTAAACGAGCCAATTTTCTCTGGCAAATCGATGCGATTATCTGGAAGGTGTAAATGATGCCTCGACTTGAACTAGAGGCAGTAGATACTTTGTTATGCGACATTATGAAAACTGAAATACCATTTGAGGGCAAAATTTTTGATCTTGGTAGCGACTTTCGACAAGTGCCTCCTGTAGTTCCAAAAGCATTGCTATTTATGGCATCATTTCAAAACCTTCACATTAACACGAAACATGCGAGCGCAGTCCATTGCATCTGGATGGGCTGAATTCCTAGTGCAAATTGCCAATAAAGAAATAGAATAAAACGATGAGGGAAAAAAAGAATTACCACAGTGCTTTAGCCACAACCTCATTAACGACGTCTTTGGAGAAAGAATATTACCCGAAGAGATAGATACATGATCGGAAAAAGTGACAAACAACAAGATTTTACGGCTATTACCTGGAGTGGAAAAAAATTACCAAAGTATCGACGAAGCTAAATGCGAGAAAAATGTTGACAAAATGTATTTTCTAAAATCCCTCAAGAGTATTACTCCGCCTGGATATCGGCCGCATGAATTAAAATTGGGGTCGGCGCGATTGTAATGCTATTGAGAAATCTCGACGTCAAAAACGGACTAGGCAATGGAAGAAGACTTACCATCGAACGGCTCGAGAAACATCTAATCTGCTCCAGAATTACGACCGGGCTACAAAGGCAGATTCGCTTTAGTCCCATGGATTACGATATATTATATTTTTTGGATCCATATATTATAATATATGGATCCAAAAGTCAGGATCCATATACTGATTTAGCAGCATCGGTAACAATTTGAACACAGCATTTAACACTTTGTGTGTGGTTTGGGGAAGCATTAATTGCAAGAGATACATCAACAATTAAGTTAAGTCAGCAAACTATATTAGGAAGAGTTAACCACATACAGTGATTTATAGGCCACGTTTTTTTCCAGCAAGATCTTTGGTTACTATTCCTACTCTAAGACAATGCCCTAATGGGGGTTTTATTTGTGTACAGAAAACAAATAAACCATAGTAACAGGTGTCCTAATGCTTCCTTCAAATTTTGTATAACTCCTCCTTTAAATCCTGTGTTTACATTAGTACTATCACAACCGACAATGTCATGTTCATAAATCCAATATATTGTGATTTTATTAACAATTTTATTGTATTTTCATTGATAATAAAATAAACTTATCATATAATTTAAAAAGAATCATATAAAACCAGAATTAACTGCATCAAAAAAATAAGCTAATGTCAAAAAACTCATAAAATTAAAACATTTATAGTTTATGCATACATGTGTGTGTGTTTGTGTGTGTGTGTGCTTAATTTTGAATCTTGTAAAGTTACTGTAAGATAAGTATAAAACACAAAAGAATATACAACTATAACTAACAAAACAATATATGATTAGTGCTGATTAAAAAGTGATTAGGGTAAAACATGAATTAATAATGCAAAATAAAAATAAAAATTATTATATGATGAATGATCCTTATATATATATGAAACTTTCCAGAAATATTACCGGACTATAACTATATATATATATGAAACTTTCCAGTTTAAACTATATATATGAAACTTTCCAGAAATATTACCAAAAATTATATATATATATGGGTGGAATGCCCATATATATAGTTTCTGGTAATATTTCTGGAAAGTTTCAAGTCATTTCCCAAAATGGAAATGACTTGAAACTTTCCAGAAATATTACCAGAAACTATTATATAATTTAGTATGTAAAAGTTAAGGTATTAAAGTCTTCAACTTTTTTCAAAAATTAACTCTATGTAGCATGACAGTCGTAACGCTTGCTTTTTAACATTTTGTTAACAGTCCAATGCTTAAAAACAACAAATAAATTGACTCAATCAATGATGTAAGAAAAAAAGTATAAATGATTATTAAAAACCGTGTTTTCCTGTTAAAAAATGCGCTATAGTATTATCAAAGTTCTTAATTATGGATATACAATGTGATTTTTAATTCTTCTCCATAGGACTGTAAATAAGCGTCAAAACACGTTTATACAACCCTTACAACTTTAAAACCATGTTATGGTATGATAAAATGACCTTTTTAAATAACCTTTTTGCTTAAAAATATTTTTAAAGAGTTAAAAAAGAGTTTATGGAGTTTAGTATGTGTTTTCATAACTTTTTTTCTTGTTTTTTTTCTTCTTGCGGAATTGCCCAAACTTATATAGTGTATATTTAATTTTTATTTAAATAAAATTTTTTTTAAATAAGCGAAAGGGAGTCAAATTGCATTGGCTTTGAAAACACATTGATAATTTATGTTGTGCAGTATTATAATGATGACATGACAATGATGGTAATTACTGATGATCATTAATTTTCCCTGTTGTTCATTTTTGTTTACATTAATTTTTTCATTGAGTATATGCACATTTACATATAATTGCATAGTATTTTCATTATTTGCAAAAGCATATATAATTGAATAATATACTATTTATATTTTGGACTGACATTTCACAATTGTGTTCCTTTTTGGGGGCTGTACATTAATTACGTCAACAATTTTTTGGCAATTTTTACCTCACCCCTCTCCCTTGTCAACAACCTCAAACTTCCAGAAACCTTCACTATAAAATTACGCCAATATTCAATAACCCCCTCCCCTCCCTTCTGAATGAATCAATTGCGATGATTGTGTAAAATATTTACAGTGCAGAGTCACAATCTGTGAATGTGCCAATCACGTTAACTTTAGAACTAATTCAATATCACAATGAAAGCCGATTATTTCTAACAGAGTCTAGTATAACAAAAAATGCATTTAACAAATTGCTTAAACCAGGGGTTGGCAACATTTTGAGACGAAGGAGCCAAAACTTAGCCAAAAATCATCGTGTGTGTTTATTTAGTTCTGTATGTGTCGGGTCTTTTTAAAGTAATTTTTAGAAAGTAGAAATATTAATAGCTTAATTAAAATACTGAAGGTTGAGCAAGTGTGTGACTGCAAATCTTCCTTTTTTTTAAGTAATTAAATATATTTTAAAAAGCAACACTTTGATGTCAACTTGCTTTGACCTCCTCCCCTCCCTCTTGTCAAAAATTGTCAAAAAATTTAAGACCCCCTCCCCCCTATTTTGTTGGGGTGATTAATGGATAGCCTATTGGTTAGACATTCCATTACTAGATACTTTTTTAGTTTTTTGTTTTGAAATTGCAGATATAAAATCTAATTTAAATAAATAATATAATAAAAAATAATTCATAAATACTTACATCAACACCTTTAAAAACAGCTTCCAAGCCTTTGAATTGATGTCCATTATCATCACAATGTTCAATCAAAACTTTTAATCTGCCATCATCAACCATTTGAACAAGTTTGGCCAGATGAGTTGGATACTGTTTCATGTGGTTCATTAAGAAAAATCCACAAACACTACCAGACTTTAACAGAAGCTTAAAATATAATAACTAAATATAAAAATAAATATACTTTTTATATTGAATAATAAATTTATATATACAACAAAATATTAAATACAGATAAAATACTGGTTTACATAGTAACCGCACAATCAACAAACAATTGACAAAACATAGATAATATATAATAATTATTTTTGATATAGATAATATATAATAATTAATTAATTAAATATATAACAATTCTTTTTGTTTTAAATACATTTATTTAAAACAAAAAGAATTAAGATGAGTTATGAATTATAAGGAGTTCTGAAATTAATACTTTTAAGGATTTTTATAGGTCTCATTTAAAAGGTAAATAATATTCTGAAGCATTTTTATAGATAACTAAATATAATTGTATATCATTAAAAAATCCTTAAAAATAAAAGCTCAATTTCTTATTCAAGCTGAAGAAACAATTTCTAAGACTGATTTAGGATTGATGATTGATTTTTATTGTGTGAGGATGAATGTTATTTTTCATTGTGTAAGTTTGATTGGTATTTTTATTGAGTCAATCAATAAATGACCCAATTTTATTGGGTCAATCAATAAATGAATTGTTAAGAATTCATCTTGAACAAAAAATAGTAGATTGCAAAATCAAGAAAATCTAAAATAATAAAATCAATAAGTGTGTAAAATGTAAACAGATGTAATCAGGTTTTTAATTTTCCACCAAAAAATATTTTCTTATAAATCAAAAAATAAAAGACAAAAACTTAATTAGTTATTGTAAAGAAAATATAAATCCAAAAAGTTCCCCACAAAGAAGTTTTGACTCTTTATTCCTATCTGCACTTTATGTCTAAATTTCTATTCATAGCAGTATTCTTAATTTGTTGATATAAACTGATTTTTGCTAGTGTAATTTTATTCTGATTTATTTAAAAAACTGATATGCATCACCTTACAATTATTAATGTTAAATGGGATGAATAATCTATCTGATCAGATCATTGCATCAAATATATTGCAGATTGACTATGGTACAATATCAGCACTTGTTTAAAGATATATACACATTTAAAGAGTTTTACCAATATACATAATATGTATATTGATAAAACTATTGATATTGACAAAAAAAAACAAAAAAAAAATCATACAGTGTATGAGACATTTACAACATATATGACATATAAAGCTTATTTGATACTATAACATGATATTCAACATATAAAAAAATGAACAGACAATTTAAACAAAACATCAATTAATTTGCAAAATTAAACCTTTGTAACAAGAGTATTGTTTTTTTGACTTCTATCAATTCCAGCAGGTGAGTGATAACTGTTAATATAGCCTAAAACAATCATTCTTCCATTAACAGCCAGCCTAGTGTTAATAAAAATATCATTATAAACAATATTATAATCATCATGATCATTATGATCATCATTGACACGATCATAATCATCATGATCGTGACCATCTATCATGAAAGAAATAGTAGTACCTATTCAAACATGCATCAAAAACATCACCACCAATGGATTCATACACAACATCAATTCCGCTCTAAAAAATAATACTATTATTGAAAGACAATAAAATACTGTTTAAGTTTTTCATCATTTGGCAAATTTATATAAAAATAATAAAAACTTTCTAAAAGATTTCAAAGTAAGTCTAAAGATTTAACAAAAAAAACTGTTTATTTTATTGGTTGCCAAACCAGAGTCATGAATTCTCCAAAAGCTGGACAATCAAAAAATCACAGCCATGAAGTTGAAGTACCATAAACCAGTCTCGATAAAAATACTCATCTTTGACAGATGTTAACTGCATCCAGCTACTGTCTTGTAGGAGGGCTTCTAGGCAAGGACTTTAAGAGGTAAGCATAATAATTCTGCTAAAAAGCATAAAACCCCTTCCTGCTCAAACATGCAAGGGTCTCCACTTTTAAATATATTTAGGTCTTCTTATGAGCTCAGTGAGGTACCAAAATGTTGGTCTGAAGCTAATGATACACCAATCCATAAGATGGATAGCAAAATAATTGCAGCCAACTATAGATCAATTTCACTCTCCACAATATCTAGCAAAGTTTTTGATACAGTATTTCAAAATGTAATTATGCAGCATCTTATCAAAAACAATCAGTTAAGTAATGCTAAACATGGTTTTGTGCAGAAAAAATCATGTACTTCAAATTTATTAGAAACTATGGGTATAATAACGTATGAATTATCAATAAGTCCTCTTATAGATTTAAATTGATTTTACTTAAGTTTTGACCTTTAGGTCAAAATAAACGTTTTTTTACATAGAACAGACACAAAACAATGTTTTTGATACAAAGTATTCATATACAAATAAAAATTAGAGAATAAAATTTAATAGAAAGTTAAATTATAAATTAAATATAAAATTAAAAAACGTGTGGAGCAGATCTTATTAAACCTTTAATCTTAAAAAATTGCGCATATGGAATAGCTCTACCATTTGCACATATATTTACAGCTTCCGTTGTTCTTAGTGAACTACCTGTTCACTAAGAACAACGGTAGCTAATATTAGTCCTCAATTTAAAAAAGGAAGTAAACTGTCGTTTTTGAATTATCGTCCAATTTCACTCACTTCTGTACCTTGTAAAGTTCTAGAAAGGGTTGTGCAAGATTTAATTACAAATTTTCAAAACGCAAATAATCATCAATTCCTTCGAAAAATCAACACAGCTTTGTTAAAAAAAGATCTTGTTTAACCAATCTTATTGAAACATTAGATGCAATCTTGTATTATTTATCTCAGATGTAATCTTGTATTATATACCTGTAGATGTAATTTAGTTAGACTTTACAAAGGCATTTGGTTCAGTGCCCCATAAAAGACTACTGATAAAACCTAAATGCTATGGGATTTCTGGTAGATTGTTAAAATGGATTGAAGCATTTCTAAAAAATAGAAGACAAAGAGTTGTCATGGGAGAAACTGTCTCATCTTGGAAGAATATACTTAGTGGTGTGTTGCAGGGCTCGGTTACTGGCTCTTTACTATTTATTATTTATATTAATGATTTGCCTGAGAACTTTCTTAATATTTCAATAATTTTCAAAATTGTATGCTGATGATGCAAAAGTATTATCAAGAGTTGATTGTGAAGCAATTGTTAACCTATTGCAAAATGACCTAGATAAATCTGTCAACTGGTCCAACAAATGGCTATTAAAATTTAATTTTGAGAAGTGTTTGAAAATGCTCTTTGGCAAAAATAACCTAAAAAGAACTTATTTTATGCAAAATATGCATTTAAGAATAACTAATGCTGAAAAATTTCTTAGTGTAGTATTTACCTCAAATTTAATCAAACAACTATGTGCAAGTAAAGCAAATAAAGTTTTGGGTATGTTGAGGAATACATTTTTAAGTTTAAATTGTGAATTACTAAAAATTATATATACAACTTTTGTAAGACCATTAATTGAATTCACTGTATCTGTGTGGTGACTTAATTCAAATGTATAAGTTATTCAATGGAATTGAAAAAGTAAGTTTAATTAATGAAATTTTGCCAAGAAATTATCAATCAGCAAGAAGGCATCAAATGAAATATAATCGCGAAATAACCAGTTTTTTGCCTCTACATTATTTTTTAACAAACAAAGCATCTTTTTACTAGAATCGATTATCTACTGATGTCGTTAATGCTATTTCTATGAATTCTTTCAAAGCTAAACTTGACATATGGATTTTAGATAATGTAACTATGTTGAACAATGATATAGCTGTCTAAGTGTACTTGGTACACTCACCGAATTATCGGTCACAGCTCAAATATATTACTATTACTATTTGTTACATGATGTTTATTTCTAATTGTGATACATTGAATGGAGATTTTTTTTTTATTATTATTAACATTAACTACATATTTTTGATTAAATTGTTTAATATTTACAGGATAATGCTAATATTAGCATTTTTAATAAAAATATTTCAAAATAAAGTGTGGTAAACATAAAAAGCCTCTTTTTAGTTAAGCTAGAAATATATTATAGACTAGCTAATCTAAGACTAGATCTAACCCGTAAAAATATGGGTCATTGTAAGTCTATTCCACACTGACCTTTTCTATACTTTTTCCTTATATATATCCTAGCTTTTTCGGACCCATAAAATATGGGTCTTTACCAAACCTACCTTTTCTTTACTTATCTATTCCACACCAATCATTTCTATACCAATGATTAGTTTACTTCAATATTTTTATGTAAAATAATTCATTTTAAAAAAATGCTCTAAGAGCAAAAAAAAAATTAACATGCGCACCCTTACAGCATACCTAGAGCTTATAAGAGATTTATAATTAGATTTGTTTTTTTCCTATTGATAGCTCAGTGTTTTAATGCGCTGTCATCAGCGTCATTTTGGGGAGTTGAAGACCTCCCTAAAAAATTTTGAATACTTTTAAATCTTGCTTTGTTTATAGCAATACTTAAAGCAAAATTTTAATTATAGTATAATCTATAATAAATATAGCAATATTTATAGCAAAAAAATAATTGTATAGCAAAAAAAATTTCTAATTATTAAAATAAAATTCAAAAGTTTTCTTATTTTTATAGATTTATTATACGCTTTTATTACATATACTGCTTGCAAATTCAACATATGCTAATGACATTTACTTTTACAGACATTTGTATGCAACACTATACAAATAGCAGAACTAAGAAGATCTTAGGCCATTAAAAACTAAAGACTATAAATCTCTAAGAGATTGTCCATAAACTATGCAATGCTAAATTTATTTTTAAAAAAGAAGGAGATCTTCAGTTCTTTTAATTGGCAATTTTCATTAAACTTGATGAGCTATTTTGATTTTCTATTTAACGTACGACTCTGCGAGGGAAAATTTTGATCTTTTTTGTTTTGTTCATTAGCGTTGCATAATTTATGGGCGATCCCTTATTTAAAAGTTTAGATTAGGGATCAGTCAAAAAGTATATAAAGATAAAAAATAATGGAGTATAATACTATTTTGATGGTTCTATCTAAATTTTGTTGTTGTTGCATACTCGGTTTAGAATGTTTAATGGGGGCGTGTTAAAATAGCTGCAGAACTCTAAATTTCTTTATGGTATCAATATTAAATAACTTAAACTTTTAATTATTTTTAAAAGTATTTAATTTAATAAAATGGTTTAATTTAAGTATAAAATTATTTTTTTATATAAGAACATAATTTTCAATTATGTTCTTATATAAAACATACTTTTTAAACCCTCTTTCTGTTTAAAAAAAGTTGACGACGTGGTGTGGCAATTAAATCATCAGTTTGCTTTATTTTTTAATTTTTATTATTTAAAATGCAAAACAAAACAACTTTACAGTTAAATAGATTTTATATTCTCTATATAAACATGTTGTATACTTATTTTTCTTGCACAAACTCAACTTAGTTGTAAAAAAAACTTGAAATGTAAAACTAAAATAACGTAAGTACCTCAATCATGACACATACACAAATATCCCCCCCCCCCCCCATTTTTTAATGTTATTAGAATTTTTAACTTTTTTATAAATCATTTTGTTAAAGTATATAATTGTTAGATATGTTTGTATATAATCTTTATAAAACTTCTCAAATATATTGTATTTTAAAAATCTAAAAAAATGAAATAAAAAAGGTCGCCAGTGGTTGGACTCGAACCACAGCTTTTTTGTTCAGAAGCTCAGTGCACAAACCACTCAGCCATGCTGACACGTTGACAATTGAAATTTTAAAACTATATAAAAAAATTTTTTACCAAAAATTAATGCTGTAGATCAAAAATTAAGGAGAGGTTGACGCAATGCAATTTTCAAGCGAAAGTAAAACTGTAAAACTTTATATATGTTTTAGTATGTTTTAACATTACATAATTTAAAGTTTACGTACGTTAGATATTTGCATTCACTTTCGTTCACGTTTTCTTATAAAACAAAGCTGCTTCAACTCTTTCTCGACATTACCTTGGTTGCAATGGCAGGCTTGGTCGGGAAGCAGGAGCGATCCCTCTCGATTGCTGACCACGTAAATAATATTTAGTTGCGAAAAGCTGGCCAGATTTTTTAGTCGTTTTGAGAACATTTTAACAAGCAAAAAAAAAAAGCGCAAAAGATTAATTGGACCGATGAGAGACAATTACAAAAAAAAAATTAGGCAAATAAAATATCTTTAAACGCAAAAAAACTTAAAGCTAAATAAATTACGTTTAAAACAAATATTTTTGAAACGTCGCTTTTATAATTTTTTTTATAAAATTAAGCCATGGTTTTTATGTAAAGTAACATCTTACGATTGTTTAAAAAGGAAACAAATATTCTTTATTAAACAAAGTTTGCAAGTTTTAGTTTTATTTAAGCTAAATTATTTTATAAATAAAAAAGTTAATTTTTTTAATACCTATTTTATGTTTCGCGTAGTTTGAAAAGTTTGACATATTTGAAGCAATTCTTCTTAGTAAGATAAACAAATGAAATAATTAAATCATTGAATTACTATAGAAATTAAATTAACAAGATAGAAATCAGCTAAAAAGGTTAAAAATATGACGAGGAAGCAAAACTGCTTCACAATATTGCTATGATGTTCAGTGAGTGGGCTTTTTTAATTAGTAATTAAAGCAGAAAAAAGTGTAACGAGTTTTTAAGAATGGCAACTGAAGCGAAATTAATTAGAGTTAGTAAACCAATATCTAGAAACTTTTCTTTATATCTAATTATTTGCTATATATAATTGTGTTCTGTCGTGACCTCAGGCGCGGTGCTTATTCATCCGCGAGTTACTTTGTATGCGTTGTTTGTGTTTAGTAACCAGAAACTTCTTATGTTTGTTACATGATTAGTTTTATTAACTTTAACGATTATAACTTTATTGAAAAAGCAATTATTTTTGTAAGTCTTTGTTTAAATCATAAAAATTGCTTTAAAAAATACATTACGATAAAAAAGAGATCAACAAAACTACATTTACATAAAGAATACATACTTTTTAAATAAAAAATAAGAATGTACTAATAAAAACTATAATTTAGAATAAACTTTTAAAATTTTGACAATTTAATTAATATATATTTAAAACATTTATTTTGTAAACAATTTATATATATTCTTAAAACGATTTATGATAGAAATCTGAAAATGTAACAAACTACTACTACTACTATTAAGTTCAGTATTATTATATAGATAAGCTCAAAAGTGCCAAGACAAGTTGTTTAACACTGTAAACAACTTATCTCAGCAACTTGTCACTGTAAACTACTTTGTAAAGAAAAAATTTATACAATGACGTCATATACCAAAACTGTTATGAATTAAACACGCATGGAATATATTATCAAGTCTGCAGATTGAGGCTAACATAATACAGACTCCAAGAACCAAAAAAAAATATGGTGACAGCAAGCTTTGATTAAAATGTGAATTTTAAAATTAATGGTGTGCATTCATTATTTAGTTTTAATCAAAAAAATTTACCCCAAATGTTTTTTTAAACATTTTTTTTAATATGAACACAACTTGTCTCGGCAGTTGGCAATACCTTTAATGAATTTTTCTCTTTCTTGAGATCTCTTTTAATCCATTTTGGGATCTCTTTAAATCCATTTAAAGAGATCCCAAACCTCTGAGACATGTTGTGTTCATATTAAAGAAAATGATTAAAAAAATGTTTGGGCTTTTTGATTAAAACAAATTTTTTTGATTAAAACAAAAGAATAAATGCACACCAAAAAAAACTAATTTTTTTATTTTAGTCGAAGCTCGCCTTCTCTCCATTTTGTTGTAGGCCAAAAAGTCAGTATAATATATGCCGCAATCTACAGACTTGATAATTTATTCAGGCGCATTTTATTCCTAAGAGTTTAAGTACATGATTGTAGTTGATTTTTTTGTTTGTTTACATAATCAATCTTTTACATAAACAAAAGAAATCAATGACATCATGTACTAAAACTTTTAGGAATAAAATGTCTCAGAGGTTTGGGATCCCTTTAAGGAATAAAATATTACACAATTCAGATGAATGCAACAGAAGGGTATTATATACTTTGAACTGAAGATTTTTTTAAACAATTAATCCAATTTTTTTCAATATTGACCAAGAGTTTTTACTAACTCTAACTAGCCTTTTTTTATATTTGTCATTTGATATGAATGCAGATAAATTTAAATATTGCTATATATAACAAAAATTACAAAAATGGATTACCAAAGTCCAAGGTATAAGAAACATAAGACAAAATAAGACAAAAAAATAACATAAGAAATAAGACTCCTAACAAACCTGCACTTATTAGAATTTCACACTTGTTCAAAGCAATTTTCATTCTCCATGAATTTTCCTTAACAAACTCATGTGTCTTTCATTTATTTAAACCGACACTTATTTGAAAGTGATTTTTTTCCTCTTTGACAAAAAACCGATCAGTTAATGAAAGTTGTAAAAAATTCTGACATTGACACTGAAAAAATTCTGACATTGACAAAAGCAACCAAAGTTATTTGTAATTTAAAGTCCAAGTTTATCAGCAATAGTACAAAACTATGGAAAATTCTGTACCAGTTATATTTAAGACCACATTTGAAATATGTCTGTGTGGAATTTCAATATTGAATACAATATAAGACTTTTGGAAAGAGTCCAAAAAAAAGCAAGAAAGACATCTGGTCCATTATAAAAGCATCCAGACCAATATAAAAAGAATACAGGCAATGGAAATAATGACATTAACAGAGCAGAGAAAAAGAGGTGAACTACTTCATTTCTTTAAGTTTCAAAAATTTTTCCTAAAAAACTCCAACCCATAATATGTGTTAAACCCGAGGTTTAACTCTCAAAGAAAATAATTAAAGAGAACTATATGTCGAAACAGCGTAATGATTTATGCTCAGCTGTAAGCAAATGTCATCAGTGTTTTACCAATTGCATAATCAAAGTCTTGAATTATTGATTAATGTTTTTACTAATTTATATATATATATATATATATATATATATATATGTATATATATATATATATATATATATATATATATATATATATATATATATATATATATATATATATATATATATATATATATATATATATATATATACATATATATACATACATATATACATAAAGTATATAAATTTTAAAATTATTTACAATTTATGTACAAATATAGATTAATATCTTTAAAATAATAAATCATAAAATAATTAAAGACAATGCATACATGCACATATTGAATAAAATACATAAAAAATAAATAATAAAAGTCAAATTTTTATTAACCTTACAGGATAATCTCGTTTCAAAACTTCAAACAGATTTTCTTCTTTATAATTAATAACATGATCACATCCTAATTT